AGTGATTTACTGCGGATACCTATACATTGACTTTTTTATTTGGTTAAGCACTCACTGTGATTACCTATTCATTGTCTTCTTCACCTGGTTAAGCGCTGCACTTTATCGTTTTAAGGTCATATTGATATATTTCTGAGGTACTGTGGTTACCTATAGTGTTCTAGCTGCTGACATTGTTAGAGAGCGCTCACGATCTTTTCATACCAGAGGGGCTGCTGTACCTTACCTGGCTCCGGTCCCACGACGATCCGGTCCAGGAAGCGCGGCTGCTCCTTCTTTCAGTTCGGCCCGCTCGATGGTCCCGCCGGCCGCTCGATGGTCCCGCCCGCTCGGCTCCGCCTCCTCACCGGTGATTGGGCGCCAGCACTGGAAAGGCACACAGGCGACCAATCACCAGCGAAGAGGCGGAGCCAAACGACCCCACGAAAATCAAGCGGCCGAACTGAAAGAAGGAGCAGCCGCTCCTCTCCCCCACTGACACTAACGATGGGGCACTATTCCTCCTCCACACTGACACCAACGATGAGGCACTATTCCTCCTCCACACTGACACCAACGATGAGGCACTGTTCCTCCCCCACTGACACCAACGATGGGGCACTATTCCTCCTCCACACTGACACCAATGATGAGGCACTGTTCCTCCCCCCCCACTGACACCAACGATGGGGCACTATGCTCCCCACTGATACCAATGATGGGGCACTATTCCTCCCCCACTGACACCAACGATGGGGCACTATTCTCCCCACTGATACCAATGATGGGGCACTATTCCTCCCCCACTGACACCAATGATGGGGCACTATTCCTCCCCCACTGACACCAACGATGAGGCACTGTTCCTCCCCCACTGACACCAACAATGGGGCACTATTCCTCCCCCACTGACACCAATGATGGGGCACTTTTCTCCCCACTGATACCAATGATGGGGCACTATTCCTCCCCCCACTGACACCAACGATGGGGCACTATTCCTCCCCCACTGACACCAACGATGGGGCACTATTCCTCCTCCCCACTGACACCAATGATGGGGCGCTATTCCTTCCACTGATACCAATGATGGGGCGCTATTCCTCCCACTGACACCAATGATGGGGCGCTATTCCTCCCACTGACACTAATGATGGGACACTATTCCTCACACACTGACACTAATGATGGGGCACCATCATTGGTGTCAGTGGGAGGAAGTGTCCCATCATTGGTATCAGTGGGAAGAATAGCGCCCCATCATTGGTATCAGTGGGAGGAATAGTGCCCCATCATTGGTGTCATTTGGAGGAATAGTGCCCCATCATTGGTATCAGTGGGAGGAATAGTGCCCCATCATTGGTATCATTTGGAGGAATAGTGCCCCATCATTGGTGTCAGTGGATGAAATAGTGCCCCATCATTAGTGTCAGTGGGAGGAATAGTGCCCCATCATTGGTGTCAGTGGGAGGAGTAGTGCCTCATCATTGGTATCAGTGGGAGGAATCATGCCCCATCATTGGTGTCAGTGGGAGGAATAGCACCCCATCATTGGAATACCATACCATATTGAAATCAAATCTGATGTTTTTTAATTTTTATTTGGTGTGCGTTGGAAGAGGGGTAGTCTTATACGGCGAGTATAGCTCAAACCCTATATTTTAACAGGAAAAGTAGGGAGTCGTCTTATACGCCCAGTCGTCTTATACACCGGCAAATACGGTACATATGCTTCATAAATGGCATTCACAGGAGAACTGTGTTCTCCGAGAATGCCGGAGAACTAAGCAGCGATCTATTACTGCTGGTTCATAAATGGACACCATAGTCCTTTCGCATACCCTTCTGTGCCGGCCGATAGTAGGTTGGCCGATCAATGGTGTAGCAGAAGTAAAATCCTTTATTGAAGTCTTCCCAAACAATATAAAATAGACATAACAGCTCCTACACTGGATAGAGAACAGTAAATGCATTTCACACAGATGTGTGCTTAGTCATTACTAGATTTCACCTGTCAGGGAACTGCTTACATGGTAAATACACAGCTGATTCCAATTAAGGATTTGCTGTCTTCCCCATGACCAAGACAATAAAATAAGTAAAACTTTTGATAAGATACATCTCTATCGATCAAAAAAAGAGAAAGTAAAAAGAAAAATAGGAAGAAAACTCTAAAATCATAATACCAAGAATAATTAATGTAATGTAAAAACACATTCATTTCTAAATAAACATACATATATATACATATACATATATAGGTATACCTGTAAATTAATGCATAGTTGAATGTCAAGTATGACAAATATACTCCCAACAAACCTAATGCAAGTAAAGAAGTGAACTGGCCAAAAACAATCAACACTCTTAACAAAATATAATCAAAAATACAAAAACATCAATATACTACTCATAAAAATAGGCATCATCCCATTCAGAGTTTAAAATGATTTTTGGGTTTTCTTCTTTTTCTTTCTCTTTTTTTGTACAATAAAAGATCTTACTTCTGCTACACCTTTGACAGTGCGGCCAACCTACTTCTTTCTGCACCACATAATGCAATGCATGACCTAATCTTTTTGGTAACATATAATATATGAGATTGCACCAAGTAAATAGATGCTGGACATGTCAAGCTTTTGTAGATTTTTGTGCTCCCACAAAACAATGATGAATGTCATCACTATATATACATATTTTTCATAGGCAATGCTTTAAAGGCACTTAAAAATCATTAGTATAGAGATTCCTAGGTAGGCGCCCACAACAGATGTGTTTATGTTTGTATGTGCACTTACGTGGAGGAAGGAAAACCCTAACATGGTTTTGGGGTGGGGTTAAGTGTTTATAAATTATTTTTTTGACATTGTGGATCCAGGGCCTGCATATAGGACATGGGAGCCCAGGAAACATGAAGGGTGAGTCAAGTTAGGAGCATAGTACTTGGGATCACAAAAAGTGATCAAAAAGCTGATAGTTGGCTTGCAAAGTGTATATACACACTTCTGGCTGCTTTAGCAGCTTGGAGTTTGTGTGTAACCCCCCCACCCCCACTGCCACGGACATATATAGGCCAAAGTGCATATCAAGGGATTATGCAAATATAAACCCAAACCTCTCTCTCTCCCTCTAGACCTTGTGCCCAGAATTATTTCCTCTTTAAAGTGATATTAAAGGCAGATTTTTTAAAATAACAAACATGTAATACTCACCTGCCCTGTGCAGTGGTTTTGTTCAGAGCGACCCCGATCTTCCTCTTCATGGGTCCCTCGCTGGCACTCCTGGCTCCTTCCTTCTGTCGAGTGCCCCCATAGCAAGCAGCTTGCTATGGGGCTACCTGAGCCTCTGTTCTGTGTGTCCATTAACACAAAGGGGGCACGGCTCAGCCCCACCCCCCACTCTCCTCATTGGGTCTGTGGATGTGATTAACTGTAGCAGGAGCCAATGGCTTTGCTGCTGCGTCAGCCAATGAGGAGGGAGAGACCCAGAAGAGCCAAGGCTCCCTTGCATAGGACAGGGATTAGATAAGTATTAGGGGGGCTGGTGAACACAGGTTTTTTTACCTTCATGCATAGAAGGTAAACAAACCTTGAGCCTTTACAACCACTTTAACCTTGTTCCTCAAGCAAGAAACCTCTTCTATTGCTCCCTATGATGTCATTACCATGCCTGCTAAACTCCTGCAATAGCAGCTGATCACAGCTCAAATTGATGTATGCACACTTCTAGACAAATAAATTCTTTAAAAATCATACAATGTGATTTCCTGAATTTTTTTTTAAATTCTGTCCCTCAGAGTGGGAATGCACCTACAATGTGAATTTCAGACCCCTCCATGATTTCTAAGTGGGAGAACGTGCAAAATCGCAGGGTGTTCAAATACTTCTGTTCCTCACTGTGTGTATTTTTAAAAGGAAAAGTGTTAATGTATTGGAGAGATGTAATAAATATTTTTTATTTTATTGTGCTCAGACATAAACTTTACTTTAAAGGCAATCCTGGCACATAAAACTCAGCACATACGTTTTCTAAATTAGACCATTAGCCATGAAACATGAAGACTTCTCTTGATTTCTTAGCAGGTGCAAAAAACACAAACTCAGAGACAGACATGTTGTCTTTTTCTTTCTTTTTTTTTCAGTTTGTGTATTGTTGTTGTCAACTGACTGAAGAGAAAGTTATTTAACTAGCAAATACATTTGCCATAGAATCATCATTAGTGAAGTGAAGGGGAATGGAGAGTGAAAAGTGAAAACCTGGGAAGATAAAGAGATAATACTTGAGTTTACAATGGAACATTTTGCTCTGTTTAAAGATCCGCCTAATTTGTTTCAGGCTTTGAAATTGTTTACTTAGTCATTAGGCTACAATGATGTAACATAATATGTTGTAAAGCAAAACTATAAAACCATTTAAACGGAAAATCATTGTTTTTGGCGTACCCGAAAAATAAAAGCAATTTGTCATGAATGGCATCCTAAGTAACTTCTGTCTTCTAGAGTGCATTCATTTGAGAATAAAAGGTGCTTTCTAGACTTCCCAAAGATGTCTCAGTTGACTTTATTTAAAAAAGTAAGATGAGGGTGTGACAAGTCTGCTCTCATGTGGCAAAGGCTAGTAAGAGATTGAGCAAAATAAGGCAAGTTTACTTACAGTATATAAAGCTCAATTCACAAAGATACAAGGGAAATTCAAGTCAAACTGGGACTTAAAATTTACAGGTATAAAAAGGGATGCTAGTGCGGTGCTACTACACCCAGTAGTAAGGGCAAGTGTGTCTTATTACTGATAGGCAGTGCACATGTCGTGGGCGAGTCCAGAGCAGGGGCGGACTGACAACTCATGGGGCCCCCAGGCAATAGGGGATCATGGGTCCCCTGTGTCCTTGCCCAAACTCAAAAAAGCCTATGAAAAAGGTACCAGGGGCATCTCATGGGGCTTCCTGCTCACCCCGAACCCTCGGGCAGTGCCCGATTTTCAAAATGGTCAGTCCATCCCTGGTCCAAAGACTGTTAATCAAGATGGCAGACAAGTGTTAGTGCGTGCATGGAACAGAGTGTGGTGATGAGGTTTCTTGTGAACGAAGGTGTAAAACATGCAAATATCTACAGATGACTTCAAGCACAGTACGGTGATGAGATGCTCAGCTGCAGTAAGATATTTGAATGGTGTAAACATTTCAAAGATGGCCGTACATACGCAGGGCCATAGATAAGAGGGTACCACCAGTCCTCCCCTCTACGGGGCCCAGGCCAGCAGGGGGCCCCAGGCAGCTGGGTGAATCAGATATGGGCAGGGAGGGCGATCAGCACAGTGGGGGAACAATTACTGGAATCCAATCCCCTGTATGGCTCATTGTAGCAGCTGAAAGATGGCTTCTTCTCCTCTACCACCTGCTGGCTTTCAGTTGCTACAGAGAGAGCCAACAGAGGATCAGTTCCAGTAATTGTTCCCCACTGCTGGTCTGGTAAATATGTAACATGCACCATCCTCTTTCATTCCTGAATGAACACAATGAGTGATCGGTACTGATCACTCACTGTGTTCATTCATAACTAAAGCATAATTGTGGCAGAACCGTTCCCCCTGGGCTTCCTCGTGCGGAGCGATACGTCACACACAATGGTCCCCTTTTCCAGCAAGTCTTCCAGCACTCTGCCAAGGCAGGTATTAGAGCTCAAAGGCAATCCTTCACCAATATCCCAAACCACGAGTCGGAACTTTGTGTAGGGTGAAAATGAATGACTCTTTATTAAACACAGTTCAGTATATACAGCTTCACCCCCACCAGACAGCCTGGCACCGGGTTTTCCCCACCCACAACAAAACCCTCCAACCAACAATACAGTATGAATTCTATAGAAGTGAAAGACTACACGTTCAAATTACCCTAAACAAACAGTGTAGAATGTCTGTGAAACATATACAGCTTTACAAAGGGGAGAAAAACTGAAACAGAAAGGGCAAAATTTTATCACAAAGGAACGTTTCGTCACAATAATAAAATGTGTTTTTTTTAATTTGGAGGGGGGAGGCTCTGTCAGGTTGGTTGTATGGGGCCCCACGGTTTCTAACAGCAGCCCTGTACGTACGTCAGTGACGATCATGGCCGTAGTGGTTCCCAGCCCACAACAGTCATTCATGTGAACATTCATCGTGTGGAACACCCAATCATGGATAATCAATGTATAAACCTGTCATGAAAATGCACAAGAGACAAATCTCTGTGGGAATGGTGAACACAAAGATGACGGTATTCAGGGCGTAACATGTAATATGTTATGAACAGACCAACCTCCGCTCCCCTGCTTTGATAGCTAATGGGGGATTTTCACCCCCACTAGCTGTCAAATTTTTTTTTAAAAACCACAGCTGTGTGGGGCTCTGCCTCTGGCCGCATCACTCATTCACAGTCATTCTGGAAATGAGAAACTACAAGTCCCGACAGCCTTAACGGTTCTCAATGAACTACCACGGCGCTGTGGAGCTCAATGGCAGTTCATTGTTTATTTCTGTCAGTATGTCTGCTTTCCTATACATCTGGTACAGACAAGTAGATCTATTGACGGGTCTGCAGGAGACCTGCATGGAACTAGCGATCTGCTGATTCCTTACGCAATGCTTTTCAGGCTCCTACAACAAAAAATAATAAATGCACATTTTTTGCCTGCAAAACATGTTTTATTATATTTTAGCAAAAGGTGAACTTATCCTTGAATGAAAACCCCATTGTATTGCACCAGTGCACGGAAATCATTAAAGAGATGGCTGAGGCTCCAGCCTTGCACAGTCCAAATTTAGAGAAAGTGGCTAAGTGATTAGCACTTCCACCTAGCAGCACTAGGGCCGTTGGTTCAAATTCCAATGATGACACTACCTGTCTGGAGTTTGCATGTTCTCCCTGTGCCTGCATGGGTTTTCTCCAGTTTTCTCACACTCCAAAGACATGCTGGTAGGTTAATTGGTTCCTGTCTAAATTGGCCCTATTATGTGTATGTATGAATGTGAGTTAAAGACCTTAGATTGTAAGCTCCTTGAGGGTTAGGGGCTAATGTATATATAAAGTGCTGCGTAAATTGACAGCACTATAAAAGTACCTGTAATAAATAAATTTGCATGCAGTGTGTTTCTTGCCAGCTTGTGCATAATCAGGCTTCTTTATTCCATGCTACATAAAGACAGGATCACTTTAATTTCTGCAACTATGCTAAAAACATAAATATCAATCATTAATCTGACTTTTAGTAAATTAATTGTAGTCAAATTTAGAAATGCCATCCAATTATAATTGCTCCTTCTTGTCACATGACCCTTTTCTCTAGTCATTATAACCACACAGGGTGGGTCTAGAACCAGAAACACTTGATCAACATTATATTAGACAGAATCGGGGTCATTCAGAAAAAAAGGAAACTGACAATCAAAGGCATATAGCAAGTGAGGCATCCAAGTATATGAACTGATTTTCAGGATGACAATTAGAAGTATTCAGACAGTATGTTGTATCCAATGAGCAAGATTTAAAGATAACTGTACTTTTAACAACACAATCTCTCATTTAATACATTCAGTTGCCAAATACAAATACATTTCTTTAACTGTGGTTTTAACTCTATTATCACATGCTTAGACCCCTTACAATTTACATTTTCAGCTTATCTGCAGACTACACTGTAACTGTATACAAGAAATGAAAACAAGTAAGGTATCTGCTTCATACAGCTGTTCATACAGCTATGGGGGTGCTTTACTATGGCAAATAGGCTGTTCCCTTTGCATGGGAATTTTCGTTTTGCTTAGTGAATACGGTCAAAATTTATTTGCAACCAATACACAATCAGTGCAAGGAAAATAGCTCATTCACACTAGCAGTTGAGGGACAGTGAACCCCACCACCACTGCTCCGCGCTTTAGCTGCAGAGGTCAGGGGGGTACATATGTTGTGGCTGTGATGCTTTGCTTCATGGCCAACGCAGTAATTATACCCCCTGCTGCTTTAAGTGGGTGCTACCACACTCCAAAAGTGACCTATTCGAGCAAATGGGGCCCCTCTGAAACCAATACATGTGGTTCCAGCTCGTTACTGTGGGGTTCAAGCGGTTAAAGCAGGTGGTGAGGAGGTGATACAATGCTTCCTCACCGACTGTCAAATGTTCTATAAAGATTCATCTTCGGAGAGCAAAGCTAGTGTGAACAGGTCCTAAATTTAAAAAAAAAAAACATATTTTGCTAGTACATGATTGGATGATGGAAATCAGCAGAGCTTCATGTCAGTCACTAAGCTAAGAGAAAATTATCTTGCAAAGTAAACATTTTCTTTACAAAGGGAACATGTCCTATGTCTTTAGCCAAAAGACGCAAATGAAGATTTCTACATGGCCATGCACTCATGTAATTAGTAAAGATCACAAACTGTTGGAAAAAGATAGCTCTTGTTTATGTAGCACCCTCCTAGTTAGCCAGGGGGTGCTAGCTAATTATTTTTAGCTAGAAGGCTGAGTAGCAGCCAGGGAGATAGTCAGAGGGGTCAAGCTTAGGTCAGGGCTAAGAGGCTCTGCAGATCAGTTCCCTGATACCTCCCCCTGTTCTAGAGACTTGGAGAAGTCTCTGGAATTTAGTGGGCGGGGGTGCGGAGGAGCTGGTCTGCACTCTTGAGGGATCCTGACCAATCCCCAAGCAGGAGACTTGGTATGGGATCAGGATAGCCCTTAAGAGTAATTGAACCTGCTCAGTGGCAGGAGAGTTTGGGTGGAAGATGGCGTGAGCAGGATGGAGTGTGGAGCTTGGGAGGGGTTCCAGGAGAGGGGCCTTCCTACAGGCAGAGGAGCTGGAAGAGAGAATCTCTCAGCTTAACCATCCCTGGAGAGAGGACAACTTGGAAAGTAGGGAAGGAGCCATCCTAGCATAAGGCTTGAAGGCAACTACCAACCCATAAACTTGCAGGAAAGGACTGAGTGAGTAATCTCACACCTGATGGACCAGAGGGGAGAGAACACTCTGGCGGGAAACCTGATTAGCCCCCATCTGGGACTGCTGATCTTAAAGTGGCAGATTCTGGGTCCCCTTGCACAAGGATTCCCTCAGGCAGCTGGGTGAAGGGAATATTTCATCTGGGGCTAGATAGCTCTTCAAAGAAGAAAAATCCTTCTAAGCATTTGTACATAGTTATCCTCAGTCAATAGTTCCTTGGGCATCCTATCCATCCCTCATCCCCATCCAAGTTATCAATCCCTTAATAAAATCACAAAAAACAAGCTCAAGGTCTGTTTACTCTCTCTAGAGTGCAAGGCTGGAAGGAAATGTGTGTTGCCTGGCTGTGCAGGACTATAGGGAGACCCAAATCTTTAGCGACTCCTAAGGGGTAGTGCTACATTTAGCTAGGCCATTCTATCTCAATGCCATCTGATTCCACCCAATCAATTATAAAAAAGAGAATGCATATCTTGAGAGAGTTCTGATGTCTTCCTTTTTTCTCAGTCTTGGTCTGGAAACACATGCCATCTTCACTGAAGCAAAACTTATTCAGGCCCTGTCTACACCACTCTGTGATCTGTCTCTCCAGAAAGAAGTACAGTATAGAAATCATCATTTATGGCTCCTTGTTCCTCTGGTTTGAGTCTTTGAAAACCTGCGGGTTCACTTATGATTCCTCATCATTTTAATTACCATCTTTCACTGCAGTGTACTGTATTTTCGTCTACATATTGTGGCTCCAAAAACTGAAACAATATCCCCCATAAAACAAAAAAGCATTTCCAAATTAAATACCATATGGAAGAGTGTGTTAAAATTGATTGTAGGTGTTCTCTCATTTTGAGAAATTTGCATAACTAATTTGGCTTAACACAACTCATTAATTTAAAGATTTTTAAGCTTTTGCTTTTTTATTTTTATTTTAATTCTTCAAATGAGTCATCGGTTCATGAAGCACAGAAGGGACTGAAGAGGGGAACAAAGAACTTGGGAAACAGGAACTGCTATAGTGGTTAACTGTTTCTACACAGCTGATTTCCTATCTTCATTGCACTCCACTTTATGTTTGATTCCAAACTGAAGTCCAACAATGACATAATCACTTATGATTGGGATGAGATGTCATTACAATAGGCTGATAGGCTTCATAGTCTCCAAAAGTTAGCAGAGCCACAACCAGCAGACATCTTCACATAAATGAACGTAAAATTATTATTAGAAATTAGAACAAAATGTACAGCCCCCATAGACCCCCCACATATACCAGGCAAGGATAGGGGGAAATGGCTTTTGTCCCCATCAATATGGGAACATGGTACTTTGTAAGTGAGAGGCTCCCTCCGGCAAACTCAGTGCCCCACCCCACAGGCCACATGCTTGAATAAGGGTCTGGTTTGTGTGTTTTAGGGTTTTTTGTGTGTGGGTAGCCTCTTAAAATCCATGGATTGTTTAGAAGGAACCCCATGTACTTTTTCATTTATCATAAAGGTCCACCTTACAATCCATACAAGACCTATATCTAGGATAAGAGTTTGGTAAAGATGTTGAGCAGAATCTTTGGCTGCTTTATTTACAGAAAAAAAGCAGCTAGTAAATGTAATTTAGTGGCAATTCAAATGTTTTTTATTCTTCTAAATGTCACTTTTTCTTTATTATATGGTATGAGTGTGACATTTCCCTTGCAGGTTTTAGACATCCCCTACGCATGATAGTTATACCACTGAATGGTAATTTTCTTTTTTGTTTGTTTGTACATGTCATCAATGAGTACCTAGCTACACATGCCTTTTTTTCCCTAAAAGCTTGCAAATTGGCCTTGGAAAAGGACAGAAAAAAATTGGAAGATTTGGCTCCCATAAACTTCACTAGGGTTCGCCACTACGTTTGGGTTTACAATTTATTTTTAATAACTTGATGAACATCCAGCTAATCGAACCTTGCTCAGTTCACTCATCACTACTGCTGAGTAGTAATGTGTGGTTTAATTTTGGCAAAACTTAAATGGCCAATAAATTGCTGAAGTGGAATCAGTCAATTTCGCTCATTGAGCTGTGTAGCACTACCTCCTTAGGAGTCTCATAGTCCTGCATAGCCAGGCAACACTCATTTTTCACAGATTTGCACTCTGGAGACAGTAAACAGTCCTTGAGCTTGTTTCTTTTTAGTTTTTATTAGGGGTAGTGAACTTGGATGGGATTCCAAAGTAAACTGCAAATGAGGACAGCTTCCTGGTAAATATATACAAATCTCTATACAGCAAAGTCTCTTCTAGGGGAGCT